TTCAAMCCGCAGAGGATAGTCTTGTTCGTCACTTCGACCTTTGGGTCAGTTTTTAAAATATTGTTTTTTTTGTATAGAAAACAAAATTGACAAAATAGAAAAAAATAGAGTGGTTGCCCATATTTTACTAGGGGCAACATTAGCATTTTTGTTTTTAATTTCTTTTGATTAAATTTATTTGAATGGATGTTAGTGTTAAATCTATAATTTTCCACTTTCATCTAATGGAGGTCGATTAAATAAATTAATTACAAGCTATATGGGATATTTTAGTAAAATAGAATCTATAGGGTAGGTTCTAGCAAATTCATGAAACTATAAAAGGTGTTTTAGTAAATWACCTATTAAAAATTCATCCCTACACCTTCATATATGGGACCTGGAAATCCATCCAACTACTTGATTAGGATAAGTAGGCCTTACTTACGATCATTATAATTGATGTGGATTGGCAAGGTCTTCGGAGGAGCTTGGAGTTCATTTGCAAAGGGGGAAGATGAGGTCAGAGGGCCCAAGGTAAATATCCCAGGCTTGAACACTTAGAGCTCGGTCAAGCCATCTGGAATCCAGTTTAACACCTGGAGCTCGGTCAGGGCACCTAGAACCCAGTCAGGACTCCTGGAGCTTGGCCAAGACACTTGAAACCCAGTCAGGACCACCTAGTAGGAGATCAAGCTACTTGGTGCTTAGGTGTAATCATGCTCGGCTAACCTGTTTGCCATGTTGCAAATGCACGGAGTGGGCCTGGGGCCCGTTGACTAACGGGGCTGTCTTACGTGTTGACAGTTCTATTGCATGGGCTGCTAGGTAATTGCCTTCTGGACACGTGGTGGAGTTCAGTGCTCGTCTTCTGTGGTAGCTCATCTCGATAGGAACTGCCTCTTCAAGCTGTAACTCGGTAGTCACTTGAGGTCTCATTCGGTCCGGACTTTATAGAAGCTCGGGGTAGCTCATTTCTTAGGTTACACATGACTTAGCGAGGTGGGCCCATGACCCCAAGGTGATTCCTGTCGACCCGAGATCACGATGGGCCGTTGAGATCTGATTTGTGGACTAGGTTGGAACTTTCTTGTGACTGCCATGAGTTCAACTTATATCAAGTAATAATTGGAGAAAATAATTTTYAAAAAAAATAATATTTATTAATAATAATTTTAAATTCTTAATCTGTAATTATAATATAATTATATATACTAAAATTAATATTTATTGTATTTCAGTAATTATTTATTGTTTTTGTGATAAATGTATTTTCAATGATTATGTATAAATTTATTTTGTTTTGTTATTTAATAGAAAACTTTCAATAATTATTGTAGATTAAGATACTATTAGTGAAATTTTTAAATTTAATTTATTGTATTTATTGTATTTTTGTTATAACTAATTGATTAATATTTATTAGAGATTAAACTATTATTTGAGATTATACTATTTATTGACTAAGTTAATATATTTTTAGTACTTATTGAATTTTTTTCATTATCAATATATTTTCAATAATTGTGTATTTTCACTATAAATTTTCAATAATTAGTGGATATTAAACTATTGTTATTTATCAGAGATGAGACTATTAATTTAGTTGAAATTATGAGTGTTCATGAGTTGGTTCGGTTTGGTTGTAGGCTATTTGGCTAACCAAATTGACCTGGTTAGGTTGGGGAGTTGGTCAGTTGAAACCGATTGACTTTTTGTGAAAACCGATCCACTCAAGTTGTATTGGTTTGGGTCAATTTTTTGGTTTGGTCGGTCGCTTCAAAAGATTTAAACCTAAAAATTAAATTAAATTTTAAAAATTATAGTGTAATTATTAAAAAATAAATTTAAAAATTATATTTATGATATAAAACATTTTAGACTAAGAAATATGGGAAATTTCTTACTTTTCCATATTAATAAATATATTTAAAATATAAAATATTAATTTATATCCATGGTTAGGTCGTTCGATTTTGGTTGGTTTACAAATGGCCAAAGTGAAATTGATCCAAATCCAACTTGGTTGAATTGGGAAATTTTTGAATCAAAGCCAACCTAAAATACTAGGAAACCGACCAACTCGAGTCGAGTTGATCGGGTTGGTCGGTTTCATCAATTTGATGAATAAACCTAACTGAAATTAATTATTGTTATTTTTATTATAAAAAATTATTAAAAGTAGTATATAAAATATGAATAATTATTAATTATTTCTAAAGTTGAAAATATAAAAAAATTGTATACTCTTATGTGATTCTATTAGGGTCATTTACTAGAACAAATCTTATAGTTTTACATATTTGCTTAAACCTACTTTGTACTTTTCATTTTATTAAAACACCCCATAGATTTTACAATTTATTTACTTAATCAACCTTTCATTAAGGAGTGCTTCTTTTGCCATTAGGCACATGATTTTTTATTCCAAAAATACCCTTAATACTTTTTTTTGTACAGAAAACATAATGGTTGCATGTATCTTATAAAGGGCAAAAATGGTATTTTTATTTTTAYTTTCTTTTGATTAAATTTATTTAAATGAATGTTAGGGTCAACATTGTCATTTTTCACTATCATCTAATGAAAGATTGATTAAATTCATTGCAAATTATAAGTGGTGTTTTAGTAAAATTTTAACTATAGGGTAGATTTTAGTAAATCCATGAAACTATAAGGGGTATTTTAGTAAATGACACTTTCTATTATTTAGCTTTCGCTTAATAAATCCCATGCACCACACGGGTCCCCACTAGTATATATTAAAACAAGGAAGTCTAGAAATTTTCTCCTATTTCTCCTTTTTTTATTTTCTAATCCGTGTCATTTTAAAAAATAAAAACTATCAATTAGAAACTCTACTAGTTTCTCCTAAACTCTACTTTAATAATCTAATATCCTAAACTTTCTCCTAAACAACCTCCCCCATTATCCCCAACTTTCTACTAATTTATCTCTACTTTAATAGAGAGTTTCTCTCCAAAATTATCTCTAATTCTTATTTATCTTCTCCCCCACTTTTTATCTACATCTACCTAAAGAAAGCTTGAATTAAAAAATTTAAGAATTATTTAAATATTATAAAAAATTATATAATAACTTTAAAATATTTATTAGAAAGACAAAAAATAATTATAATGGATATAATAATAATCATATTATTAATAATTATACATTTTTACAAAATTCATCACTAAATTATTTACAAACAATATAAATTATGATTTTCTGGATTATTCAATCTAAATGTTATTTAAATAATAGAAATATAACATTAAAAAAGAAATATCTTTTAAATATTTAAATAACTAAGTATCTTACAAACAGAATATTAAAATTAATATTATAAATCAATTAATAATATATTTTAAATAGTTACTGAATAAATTTCAATTATAGTAAATAGATTAAGATTTTAAATATTTATTTAAATAAATAAATATTTTAAATAATGAAATATTTAACATAACTAGATTTTAAATAGTTAAAATAAAAAAAAATATGTATTAATAGTACTATAATTTTTTGGATTATTAATTCAACAAGTAATTAATATTTTAAAATTTAAATAATAATATTTTTTCAAAAAATAAATATTATTGTAAATAACTAATTTCATTTATACCAATTAATAATTCTAGAAAATAAATTTCAAAAAAATTATTGTTTATTAATTATAATTTTAAAAACTTAATTTTTATTTATTATTTATTTATCCATACTAAAATTAATATTTATTGTATTTCAATAATTATTTATTGTTTTTTATGATAAATATACTTTCAATAATTATGTATAAATCCATTTTTCTTTTGTTATTTAATAGACATTTTCAATAATTATTGGAGTTTAAACTACTGTTGTTTATATTTTAAATTTAACTTGTTGTGTATTTCCGCTATAAATTTTTAATAATTATTGGAGATTAAACTATTTTTCACAGGTCGGTTCAGTTTAGTTGTAGGGTGTTTGGCCAACCAAATCTACCTAGTCAAGTTGGGGGGTTAGTCAATCAGGCTATATTGGTTTGGGTCAATTTTCAATTTGGCCCGTGAATTAAAAAATTTAAACTTAAAAAATTAAATTTAAAAATTAATTTTAAATTAAAAAAATAAAATGACAATATTAAAAAATTAAATTTATAATATGAACTATTTTAGCCAAAAAAATATTGGAATTTTCCCACTTTACTTATTTAAAAAGTAGATTTAAAATATAAAATAGTAATATTAATATTTTGTAATTCCTGCCGTAAAAATGTCACCGGGTATTATATTATAGACACGTGGCCAGTGACATGCAATAATTAGCCACGTAAACTAGGGGTTCAACAGTTTATTTTACACAGTTTGATAAAAAGGATCTACGCCATTAAATATATACAATCAATTGTAGCCGCGTAGACTAGCATGCAGTATAGTTGGAGAGAGAGAATTGGTTTCCAACTTTGCACGTTGATTCAAGAACCAAGAACAGCCACGTAGTGTAAGGCTGGAAGCCTACAGTGAGAGGGTTTGCATTGTTTTTAAACTCATGAGAACAGAGAAGAGCCACGTAGCAGATGAATCTCTTTCTAATGCAAATGGGGGTGTGTAAGTGTAAGCAACCATATGGGCTGGGCGAGAAACAAAAGGATATATATATGCTTGGAAGAAACATAAAACACAAAAGAAGATTTGAGGAGCCATCTGGGTCCCCAGCTGCCTCTGCCCATTCTGTGCTCTATCTGCAACAGAAATAATCCATGAGAAAGGGATCGAGGTGCTTATATGGTCGTAGGTTCTCCTTTGATTTTGCCTTGTAATGGAGGCAATCCATGAAACCATTTACTCACATGGCCTACCCACGTGCATGCCCATGAGCCCATCTCAATAATATATATCCGGTCAATAGCTCAGCCTCAGCCAGTCAGCCTCAGCTCCTTTGTTTACTCTATTGATCCCACCCTTTTCCCATTCTTTTATATAAATATCTGAGTCCCCTTCTTCTCTTCAAACTTCAAACTCACATTTCCGCTTGTTCCTCGTCTCCTCCTTAACTTCCAACCATGCAAGCCTCCGCTCTTTCCTTTCGTAACCCCAGCAGTCTCATATACGAAATTGAATCGAAATTGCAGACACCCATCAAGAAATATAAATTTAAAACCCCAGAAAAATCCAGCCCTTCTTTTACTTGTAAAATTCTCGTTGAACCTTACTGGAGGAAGACGATCATGCCTGCAGTGCGTGAACCTCAGCCTGCTGCTCCACCAAAGCCCGAGAAAAACCCACTACAGAAACTGGCAGCTAATCTGTTGGATAAGGTGGAGAGCGCCATAGTTGATGAATTGGAGAAGAAACAGCCATTGCCGCGAGCAACCGACCCAGCCATTCAGATAGCTGGGAATTTCGCACCAGTGAAGGAGTCCCCAGTTCACCATGAGCTTAAGGTAGTGGGTCGAATCCCTGCAGAGCTCCGTGGTGGGGTTTACCTGCGTAATGGAGCAAACCCAATGTTTGCTCCAACTGGGGGACACCACTTATTTGATGGAGACGGGATGATCCACGCCGTCTCTCTGGACTCTGCTGATAACGCCAGCTACTGTTGCCGCTTCACCCGCACTAGCAGACTTGTGCAGGAAGCTGCTTTGGGCAGGTCTTACTTTCCGAAAGCAATCGGAGAACTACATGGCCACTCGGGCATTGCTCGACTACTTCTCTTCTACGCTCGCTCGGTCGCTGGCATAGTCGACGCGAGCAAAGGCAGTGGAGTGGCCAACGCTGGGCTCGTCTATTTCAACGGCCGCCTCCTCGCCATGTCCGAGGATGACCTCCCTTACCATGTCAAGATCACAGCAAATGGTGATCTCGAAACAGTTGGACGATATGATTTTTCCAGCCAGCTCAGATCACAGATGATAGCTCATCCCAAAGTGGACCCAGTGACAGGGGAGCTTTTCGCTCTGTGCTACGACGTGGTCAAGAAGCCTTATCTCAAGTACTTCAAATTTGACGCTCGCGGTAGAAAGTCACCTGACGTTGCCATCTCTCTCCAACAGCCCACCATGATCCATGACTTCGCCATAACGGAGAATTCCGTAATCATCCCTGATCATCAGGTCGTTTTCAAGCTCTCCGAGATGGTTCGCGGCGGATCCCCGGTAGTCTTCGACCAAAACAAGACTTCTCGATTCGGAATTTTACCGAGATATGACACAGATGCGTCAAGGATTCAATGGGTTGAGGTACCCAACTGTTTCTGCTTCCATTTGTGGAACGCTTGGGAAGAGAACTCCAGCAATGGTGACAGACTGATCAAGGTTATAGGGTCCTGCATGACTCCTCCAGACTCTGTTTTCAACGACCATGATGATGCGCTGCTCAGCGTGCTGTCGGAAATTCAGCTAAACCTGACAACCGGCGAGTCGAGTCGTCGGGAAATTGTGCCGGGGTTGAATTTAGAAGCTGGGCAAGTCAATAAGCAACTGCTCGGCCGGAAGACTCGATACGTCTATCTAGCAATAGCCGAGCCATGGCCGAAATGCTCAGGTTTTGCCAAGGTTGATTTGGAGACTGGACATGTAAGGAAGTTCATGTATGGTGACCAGAGGTTCGGCGGAGAGCCGTGCTTCGTGCCCGGTAGAAGAAGCCATTTGGCCAGTAATGAAGACGATGGGTATGTTATGATTTTCGTTCGGGACGAGAAGTCTGAAACCTCAGAGCTGGTGGTAGTGAATGCTTCCAACATGAAACAGGAAGCCTCTGTCAAAATTCCTTCAAGGGTGCCGTATGGTCTCCACGGTACTTTCGTTAGTTCAGAAGATCTACAGACTCAAGCTTTTGGTTTCAAATGACAAACTGCCATTTGATCTTCTTCTCTTTTTATCCTTTTCCACTTTTGGTTATTTCTCTCTCCTCGAGATATAGTAGAGAGGACGAAATACAACTTAAAACTCTGAAAAGTGTACAGTAATTGAAAGAGATTCCCTGAATCCCTGGTTTGGTTCATTAGTTTGATTCTCTAATAGACTGTTTGATAAAAGCTGAAGTGGCTAAATTGAATGGAGTTTTCAGTTTTGATTTTCTTGTAGAGTGTGAAAGTGATCAACTCATTAGCCCAATAGCATTCCCCATTCAAACCCACTCAGTGAATTATTAATTTATTTAATTATAGACAAACGATTAAGTAATTCAATTAATTCAGCCACTTCAGCCATTATCAAAATGGCCCTGAATTGATCAATTATTTATATAAGAAAAGGTTTCACACACCGAAACACCACGAAGCGCAAGAACTTAAAATGGAACATGAATTGTACAGAACCAACATTTCTGCAAGTCGAAATCGTTCGATAGAAATCAAAGAAAATCAAAGCAAAAGTATATAGAATTTGTAAATGTACGTAAGAAGGCCCCTTTCATGCTAATGCAAGAAAACTACTACTATAGAATTTGCTAATGCAAGAAAACCCATATTGATTTTTTGGTCATGTAGGTCTCTGTTCAGGTGGAAGTAAACAAAAAGGAGAAACTCTTACAGAAATAGACAGTCATACATTTGTCCGTTATTGTCTGTCAACCTCTCCTCTTGGGACTGAATTGACATCGGCGCCTCACAGACTATCTCAGCCGTGTATACGGAAAATATTCCCAATGCACGGTGAGATGTACATATGGGGCGTCAATCGCAACTTCTTGCGTTTTTTGATAATTGTTTTAAATCCCCTTATTATTAACGTCCGTTAATCCATTATTCCATTAACGCCGGTGAATACAAACCTCCGGATATATCCAGTTCTTGACAGTGGACCTCTCGCCTCCGACATCAGCCGCTCTTGTTGCCTTCATTCCTTTCTTGATGATGATGATTTCAACGCCTCCACCGTCCGATCCTCTAGATCAGGCGACGCGGGTGACAACACCAACAGTGATAGAAAAGGGAAAACGGAAAACTACCTTCCACCCCTATCTAACTCCGACGCTAGGTTCACCTGTATGGACGCCGACAGTCGTCTACTCTATAATCTCCGGAGTGTTTATTGACTTCGGCTTTCTGGATTAAGCGTCCGGGAAAAAGCAATATGGGTTCTCCCATATTGCTTTTTTAAATCATAAAAAAGCAATATGGGAGTTTCTGACAATCATAAAAATCTTTCCAGTTTAATTTTAGCAAAATCATTCCCGCTATTTTCAAAAAACTTGACAAAAACCTCTTTTTCGTCAATGACCAAAACGAAAAACGTTAAACCTAAAATACCTATTTTACCCCTATACGAGTTATTGTATACTTATTTTTACTAAAATACCCTTTGCCCTCTCTTATTATCCAGGTTCCTCTCTTATTACACTAGTTTCATCTTTTKCCWAATCTGAAGAGGARCATGGGTGAGGAACAAACCCTTTGCCCTCTCTTATTATCCARGTTCCTCTCTTATTACACTAGTTTCATCTTTTKCCTAATCTGAAGAGGARCATGGGTGAGGAACAAACCCTTTGCCCTCTCTTATTATCCARGTTCCTCTCTTATTACACTAGTTTCATCTTTTGCCTAATCTGAAGAGGAGCATGGGTGAAGAACAAACCCTTTGCCCTCTCTTATTATCCAGGTTCCTCTCTTATTACACTAGTTTCATCTTTTGCCAAATCTGAAGAGGAGCATGGGTGAGGAACAAACCCTTTGCCTGCTGAAGAGTATGAATTGAGGAGGAAAGAACCAGGAAGAGAGGAAACTGGAGAGGAACAACAAACCCAGGAAGAATGATTTCGATCCCACTGGAGAGGAATGACGAACTTAGGAAGAAAGAGGGATTTCGGTCCCATTGGAGAGGAACGACGAAGCTAGAAATCGATTTCTATCACTCCTATCTCAAAAATCGAACTTAAGAAATCAAGGAAACATAGCACAAAATTGAGCTCCTACAAGAAAACGAGAAAATAAGAAAATCGATTTCTATCACTCCTATCTCAAAAAACGAACTTAAGAAATCAAGGAAACAAAGCACAAAATCAAACTCCTACTATAAAACGTAGCACAAAATCAAACTCTTACTAGAAAATATAGCACAAAATCAATTTCTATCACTCCTAGCAAATAAATCGAGCTCAAGATTAAATAAATCGAATTCCTACAAAATATTCCAGTGAATAAACTAGGAAGTGTTCAATGTTAACTGAAAACTCAAAAAATAAACTTATAGTAATTGTCTGATGAAGAGATCGACCAATAGGATGAAGCACGGTCATCGTCCGATGAAGAAATCGACCAATAGGATGATGCACGGTCGTCGTCCGATGAAGAATAGTCATCGAAAAATCCCGGTGAAAAATATTCTGAACACTACAACCACTGCAAGCTAAGCGAAAGGGATAAAGATACAAATGTCGTCCGGTGAAAAAAACGAACTCTAGTGAAGAAATCAACCAACAAGATGAAGTACAATCGTCGTTCGGTGAAGACTCATCGCCGAAAGATGTACGGAATATTCTGAGTACTGTGGCTACTTGCAACTGTTAGGGTTAGGGTTCGAGTACTTTCTCAATAGTACAGGGAGTGTAATAAGTTGCTAGAGTAAGGGCAAAGATGATGTTTTGCAAATAGCTCACATGATGTCTAAGGATAAAAATGTAATTCTATACGTTTTCCGTCTTGGTCATTAACGGAAGGGAGGTTTTTGCTAAAATTAAACTATAGGGGAGGTTTTTATGATTGTTAAAATCTTCAGGGGAGGTTTTTGTATTTTTATCCATTTTAATTTTTTAGCAACGTTTGGGAAAAGCAATATGGGAGAATGAATGGGCTTCGAGTGATACCGGTTGCTGCAACTCGTTCCAACGGCAGAGAACAAAAGCAAAGTTGGATAGCTTGAGATCTCTTAGTAACTCTGACGCCAGAGCCTTGAAGTCTACAATGGTTTCAACGAAGTCTCTTGGTAACTTCAACAAAATCAAGGATTTAGTTGAGATTTGGCAAGAGAGCAAGTCAGCAAAGGCGAGCCAGTGGAAAATGAGTTTAGGATGGACTCCTAAAGAGCAGAGTCCCTTTGCTCTAAGAGTCAATCCCTCTCCTTACCTAGGACTGCATTTTTTCTTTAGATACCCTCAACTTTATTATAGATGACTCAAGTTGTTTCTCCGAAACTTTGTTAAACAACTCAATTTATGGATAGGCTAGTCTCCTTTGTTTATCCATTACACGAGTAGTAGATGCAGCAGCCTCATCAGTTTTAGCAATATCAAATAGTTTCTCGACTATCTCTTTTATTGTGGAATCCCGTGCACGAAGATTCAGAGAACCTAGATGGGAATAGCCTAGAAAACCGCTTTGATTTAGGATTTGTAACTGATATGAAGCTCTGGAGGTACCTCATGCAATTGAGCCTACTAGGTGCCGGGTTAGGAGTTTTGCATGGCCGCCATGCCTGGTTCTCTAGACCGTTGACTCTAGAGAAAGTAAATGGGTCATTGGTTCTCTCTATCCACTTTGGTTTTTCTGTTTCTTACGGTTTCAGAGCTGTTGACTTTTTAGGTAAATGTTTCCAAACCAGCGACGACTTGAAGAAGACAATTGAAATGGATATCAAACAAGACATCTTTATTGAATTAAAAATTTCCATTTTCAGTTTTTGGCTCACTCTCATAATCGGTTTAGTTATTATTTGCGCTCATGGCTCATTTAGGGTTCTAGAGGACCTGTTTCTATTTATACTAATTTCTTGAGAGTTACAGATCATCTTCACCCCTGGGTTGTTGTCGGTGACAACAGTGAAGAAAGGGAGAGGGAGAGGGACTAAGGGTAAAATTGGGTTTTAAAAAAATTATAAAAATTATGCATCACATGGTGTCACATGTGTATAGGTTTTGACAAAATATTAATGGATGCTAACAGTAAGGGTAGTCAATTGTCAGAAACAGTAGGAGTGGTGCAAGACAATACTTAAACAGTAAGGGTATAGTTAGTCAATTCATTAAACCACAAGGGTAGTTTAAGAAATTTACCCTAATAAATATTTAGACAACCGTATCAAAAATTATTTTTAACCTTTTTCAAGGGTAGCTTAGGCCATTAGGGGTATTTTAAAAAATACATGTCAAAAAATTTTCTAATTGCTTACTCAATGTGCTCACTATGTGTACCTATCTGATCTAGACTATCTTGTGATGAAAGTGACGGTTTGTTGATTACATCGATGTCAATTTAGGATGACAATCTTCCCCATCTTGTCGAATACCCAATTTGCCTCACTTGATGGGGTTAGGGCTGGAGATTGCCTTGGTGGTGGGAATGGGGCAAGAACAGAGATTGATATCCAAACAAAGACAGGGATGGGAAATGAATTCCTCACCCCACCCCAACCTGGATTATACATATTAAATATATACATAGACAATATTATTTATATTTCTTATATTGTATATATCAAAATATATTTAAAATATTTTCATATTTATAAAAAAATTCTCATATTTATAAAAAAATTCTCATATTCTAAGTAAATCTATTTCTAAAAAAACTTTTAATATAAAACTTTGGGTATTTTGTCCGCAATAGTCTCTTCGGAAATTAAGAATGGAGGATCAATTTTTTTCCCTAGTAGGTGTCGAGGTTGGGGACAGGGATTTGTTTGAATGTCAGGGCTAGGATTGGGAGTATAGTCCCCACCCCATTGCCATTCCTAATGGCAATTCTCTGGTCCCCATGGGTAACAAATTTCTTTATCCAAATGGGTTGGGTATGGAGATTGTTCTGGCAAGTTGGGTTAAGTATGGAGGTTGTTTTGGGGGGATAGGATGGGGAACAAATGAGATATTCGATTAGTTTTAGGGTCGGATGGATAGGGAATAATTGGGATATCTAAA